GAGAGACTCTATGTGGTGATTTCTTGTAACCGTGAACGAATCAAAAGACGAGATAAGATTAACGAGAACATTTATTAGCTTACATACATCTGACTTGGATTTTACACAAATTGAGAAATTATACCCCGACTTACGCGGTTATCTGGCTTTTTGGATGCTGACAATACAGCGCTTCCACTCCGCCACTAATGTTCGAATATACAATAGCAATCTTATCTTTTTTTTTCACATGTAGTATAGAAATTTGTAATAAGATACATAATGCAGTTATAATAAAATATTGTGCGATTATTTTCATATAATTAAAATTAATATGTATTTATTTTTTAGAAAATACAAGGGAAGTGGCACATGCACCGCTTCCAATGACATTACATGATTACTTGCCAAAAATCATCAGTCCTAATAATGATCTTTCAAAATTTTTACTTGTTTTTACAGAAAACAATCCAAACTAAAGATTCAGCAAAAATTTTTAACATTTTCTTTAATATTTCAAGAAATTATTAATTTTTAAAGTAAAATAATTTAAAATAAAGTAATTTTTGATTGAAGAGGGATAAATAATTAATTTTTTAATTAAAAAATTTTACGCAATTGTTTAAAGCAAAGAAAACCTTCTAGAAAGATAAAAATTTTACAGGTGGAAGTAATTAGATGCCAGATGTTCACTCTTGTTTTACAAGTCAGAAATCTTTCTCTTTTTTTATTTACTTTTAGAATGGGCATGGCACAGATACTATTTTTTTGGAAAAAGTCATATTTTATTTAAACACTATAGACAAACAAAGTAATTTAAAAAAATTTTTTTTAAACATAGTAACTGATGATATGACTTACATACTGGAATTTGGGAGATATGTGTACAGTACATGGGATAATGTTTTCCTATCAAATTTGATTTTTACATATATCATTTCTCTTGTAATAACTATTGAAATGAAAATAAACAAGTAGAGTGGAATGTCAGTCTAACAAAATTGAGGGGACCATTGAAATATTTTTGTTATACTGTAATACAGTAAAAAAATGCAAGGATAAAAGAAATTTCGCTTACATTTTGTAGCAAGGTTTTTAAAAATGCAATTTATATATTAATTTTTACATGGAATCAAATTTCACATTTTTAGAATGTAAGTTACATTCTGAAAATTAGATACAGAATAAAAATTAATCTGTAATAAAAAAGTATAAAAAAATATCTTGAGCAAACAACTAAAATAATGATATAATAATACTGAATAGTATGAATCTTGTCTCTTTAATTGTTATTTCTGCTTGAAGCTATTATTTTTTGCTAAAAGAAGTCTAATTTTTGTTTTTTTAATCAAAGTTTTTTCAAAAAATTCAGTATTGTGGTACAGTATTCCAGTAAGACATCAGACACATCTTGTTTAATTCCTTTTTGCATGTTATATCATAATTTATTATTTTCTTGCAAAGAAAACTGCTTTCATTTTTTTCCTCTAAAAATTTTTTTTTCTCATAAACTTAAAAATAAATAAACTGTAGAGCAATAGCATCAAA